CCCCAAAACCCCAAAACCCCAAAACCCCAAAACCCCAAAACCCCAAAACCCCTGGTTTTACACAACATACTGAAACCCTACAATTCAAAACCTAATTACACTGATTCCTTCTAAAATTTAATTACTTTGCAGTAGCAAGTCCATCATACTCTCTTTGGAACTTTCTGTGGTCAGAGAAGATGTCACCGTATCCGGAATATTGCTTGGCGTGGTAAGGATGTCTGATTGGCATTCCATTTTCGTTGAGAGAGACCTGTTGCTGTCCTTGCAATTGAGCTCTGCCTTGGAATTGAGCGGTAGGTTCTCTTCTTCTTTGAGCATCAAGTCTAGCCTGAACACCTTCTTGTGGTAATGGAGGTGGTCCTTGAGCACCAGAATCATCCTTAGTGGCATTCTTAGCTGAGGCTGACTGCTTTGGTACTGGAGTAGAAGATCCAAGAGGTCTAGGATCATCATTAGTCTTATCAACATCATGTACAAGGGATGAATTCTTTTGGCTCATGATTCCTGAGTCAGGGATCTCGTAGCTGGTTACCCAATGTCTTCCTCTCTCTTCCCATTTTCCATCTGGTCCAATGACATCAACTGGTCCCCAGTTTACATATTGAGTTTGTACAGGTGCCTCAACGTTGGTTGGAGATCCATTTTCCAAATCAAAGAATTGGACAACTCTTGGTTGGGTATCCATAGCTCCGGCTTCTGGCTCAAGGTTGAAAGATTTGAGAGCAGCTCCTCCGGTCTTATGCAACATGTTGGGTCTTCTCTCGAGCAACATCTTGAGATGATCAAAGGTTTCATTGTTTACTTTTTCTCTGAGAATGGTTCTTCTCTTGTCCATGAGCACAATGTATGGGGCATCTACAATGTTGAATTCTTCTTTTGATCTCAAATTGGCTTTATTTCTTAAGTCAATTCTCATGAGATGGAGCTTATCATCAAAGAGCTCAATCCAGTCCTCAGTAGATCTACCAAATTGGTCTTTGCTCATGAAGATTCCAAGAATCTTGGAGGAGAGTTTGCCGAACAAATTTTCATCTTTTGAATTGTCAACTTGCGAATCGTAGAATAGGAACCCTACAGTCTCGTTCTGGAAGTCGTCGAGAAACAGGTCAACATCCTCTGAAGTGGCAGCTTCGAAGACGGTGGCATTTGCCGTGAGTAAAATCGCGGCAATTAAGAAGATAGATAGGCAAGTAACCTTCATTTTAAATCTTTGATTATAAATATTTTATTCTCGTTTTAAACTCCTTGATTAATATTGGGGTTTTGGGGTTTTGGGGTTTTGGGGTTTTGGGGTTTTGGGG